CCCAAAGGGAGCTGTGCCAGAGCCCACTACTGCAGACAGATATTGACTGGCCATTACGAGACCACTTTAAACTCTCACTCTGGGCTTTTTTTTCACTGTTTATCTTACATATTTTACTGCTTGCTCTGTTGCGCTCATATGGTAAGAGTGGAAAATTATGTGCTATTCTGTCCTAATGACTTCACTCTAGTAAAGCTGAAGTGCAAAAGAGCAATCTGATAGATTCCCACAGAACTTCACATCTTTAAGTGGGTTTGCTACTGCACTTGTAAGATGCTGTCTATGGCGACTGGGCTCATCTAGTTGAATTGATTGCAACTGGTTGTCAGAATTATTGATGGCAAGATGCTCATGTTGCTGCTGGCTTCCTTACAGTTTTGCAAGTATGTCAGAGTGTCTTTTGACTTTAGTATTAGTTCCTCCTTCGTGTTGGAAAGCATTTACAGGAGCTTGCTGCGTGTTGTATCCCAGGATGAATGTTTGTTTTTCAGAATACCTTTTCTAATTTGATTCCACGCTTAAATACCATTGCTAGATCATAAGAAAAAGCTAAATGGTAACTTTTTTTGGCCCCTACATCTGTGTCTGATACCCATATATATTACATGGTTATATGTATTGTTAATTTATATTGTTATATCTATTGTTAATAGTTGGAGCGTTGTTACTTTTAAATTAGTTTTTCAGAAATTGATGGTGGCTTTTTTTTATGTACTTCCTTATGTACATTGGGTCATCTAAAAGGACTCTAAACAAAAGAGAAAAACCCTGCCTTTAATCTTTGCATTTTTTCTTCTCTCTGCATTCCTTGAAACCATGGTAACGGATAGGATAACCTATCTGCATTAGAGTGGCTGCGGAGTGAAAGATTAGGCTTGTTGCAGAGTCTGATGCTAATGTATCACCACCTGTAAACCACAACAATCGGGTATAAGGAAAATGAATGTTTTAAAAAGAAGAGTTTGCTGTTAATGATTAGGTGTAACAGAATAAACTTTGACTTAAAATTCATATGTTCCCATGTATTTCTTTTAATTTCTAGTTTCAGCATCCCTCTTACTTGTAACCATTAGTCTCTCGATTTTAAACTTGCAGATTCTCACAGCCTAGACTCCAGTCGATATTCCTTAGTAGGAGCAGATCTCCGTTTCTCATCAGATCTGGAGGAAAAGCTAAAGAAACATAACCTGGATACACAGTAAGATTATTTTTTTATTATTAATTTTGATGAGGGCTTGTGGAAGTGTACTGGTGAGAGTAAAGTCAGGCTTGGGCATACAGTATCTGCATCCCATGCTCATTATGCTATTTCCATGGTTACCTTTTCCTGAGCCCTTTGAGCAGAAGGAATTGTTCAGACACCTCGTGCAGCCTCACTGAGCCGCGCAGGCTGGCATTGCCGTGACTGCTGGGCAGTTCCAAGTCTGAAGCGAGATTGTTCCTTGCATAGCCTATTCTGCAAACTGCCTTTTCATCCTTCCTGAGAAGATCAAACATTGCAGAACTATTTGCTTCTTGTTCTTAAAACGCTGAGGGGAATGAAGTTTGACTTTCTGTGATTGTGTTTCTGGTGATTGGTTTTCTTCGGGGTATATGATCCTTTCGCACAAGTTAAAGCTCTTGGTGCAGGACAGGCAGCTGTAATTCCTCCTCGCTTTCTGCCCCCGTCCCTTGCCCTGGAGGGGATGGGTTCCTGCAGCAGCCATTTTCTTTCTCAGAGGTGATGCAAGTTTTCTTTCTCTACTTCATGAATTTAACTCTTGTAGAGATTTCTAAAAGAGTTACCCCTTGCTTGAATTTGGTTGAAATTTAGTTAATAGAATCAGAAGTTATTCAAGGGGAATCTAAACTAGAGATGTATCAAAAATGTCATAAATTGCTTTTTTTAAGAGTTGGTTCAGTTGCATTTTGATGCTGGCTGGGCAGCACCTGTATCAGTGAACATCTTTCACCCCTATTGTAATGGGTATGTGAGTCGAGATTTCTGGGAGCTTAGCTGGTAAAGTGAAGGATAATTCTGTCAATGGGAAATTATTTCAGAGTTTTATCTTTGTAATTCTTTTCTATTGCCTCTACTTAAAACCCCTATTGTTCCCTAGACCTTTTGATAAAGTGATTACCATGGAGTCCTTTGAGAACTTAATTCTGGGAGCTAATATCTGGGATTTTATTGTTCAAGTGTTAGGCTTCTGGAGGGGGCAGGATTTAAGTTTTAGAGCGGATGATGGACATACCTTTCAAATATAAGATATATAAATAGCGGCTATCTGGCTGGGTGGGAGAGAGCATATGGGTAAGCAGAATGCATCAAATTGCCATTTAAATCTTTACACTTCCATCTTCTGAAATCTTCCCTTGCTTGCCTACATTGCTGCTCCCTGTGGAATTTCTCCGGCTTCTAGTGACTTTTCTTTTTCCTGTTCATTCTAGCAATTAAAAGAAAACTCCATAATTCTAAGGAAAATTACTTGTGTAGATGTCTATTTTTGGATTTTTGTGGATGGAGGGGGAAGAGGCAATGTGCAAACTATAGATTGCATTTTGTTAGATAATAACATGTGAAGTTTATTTTACAGATATTGAACAAATTTGTCTCATTAAAATTCTTAGAACTTTTTTTAAAGAGGAAACATTTTCTTTTGATTAGTATTTTGTTCCTAATTTTGCTGATCTCTAAAAGAGTGCGCATTGTGTATATAGAGTACAATTCTTCTGCAAAATGAATTTTAATATGCGCTTCAGTTTATGCTATCACAGTTCAGAGAAGACTAGCAGAATACACATTTTTCTGTGTTCATAGGATGGCTGACTTAGGGGAGATTGTTTCCTAATATCTCTGTTTTGTAACCATGGGAGTCCCCTGTCGACTGCCAGAAAACCCAATTCTAGTCAACTTGATGAAGTGATTTCATTCAGTCTTAAATGTCTAGTTCATAAAAACGATAGGTCTTTTAAGAATTTTTGGAGACATGAAATTACTTGCTTGCTAATAATCCTTTATAGATTTTTCTTGTTCTTTTGCTAGAAATAGTTCTCTTGTTTTTTTTGTTTTAAAGTTTGCCAACGCTTCTGGTAGCGGAGTGTGTACTGGTTTACATGACACCGCAGCAATCTGCAAATCTTTTAAAGTGGGCAGCAAGCACTTTTCCGGTGGCGATGTTTATAAATTACGAGCAGGTAAAACAAAAATGGCATTTTTAGACCTGCATTATTGTCATAAAAATTGCTCTCAAAAGTGGGAGTTCTGCTTGTAAAATAAGAGTGGGCCATATGCTTTTGTACAGGTAGGAACTTCTGCTGAATTTCTTTAGTAATGTGTTTTATTTGGTAGATCTGTTAGCTCATTGTAAAGAATATATAGCGATTCTGAAAGACAATTGCTGGACTGTATTGAACCAAAAGAACTGAGGCTTAATCCATATATGGAGAAAACCGTGTAATATTGGTTTAGATAAGACTGAGGAAAAAGAAATGCTGCTGAATGTCGGATATGAGTGTATAACATTACATAATTACCTCTCTGTGTTCTCTGACAAAGTGGAGCAAAAAATCACATCAGCGTGAACTTAGCTTCTCTGTATGGAAGTAAAACGCTGCCTTGGGGGAACTAGGTGCCTCCAGGATTTATTAACAAGATCTTCCAAGCTGTAAATCACTGCTGGAGAGCTGAACCAAGCTGCTGACAACTTAAAGCAGAGTCAGTTTCAGTGCCCAGTGTCTGCAAAGGCATTGTCGCTGTTAAACTGGCACTCAACTTGTCAACGTGAGGTAGCTGAGGAGATGTGGCAGTGGGAAATGACACCTGGTGTAAGAGTTTGTGGAACTCTAATGTTAGCCTGTGCATTTTATGACGTAGACAATTTGAGAGTTTAACCAAGTTACTGCTTTTCACTGCGATTACATTCTTTTCGGAAGGGGGAACACTTTTGTCTCATTCTCTACCTGAGGTGAATATGACGGACAGGTTTGGACAGATCATGATTGAGAACTTGCAGAGACGACAGTGTAACCTGGCTGGAGTGGAAGTCTGCAGATCTTTGGACTCTCAGGTAAAGGGGCACAGGGCTTTGGGTGTGTTTAATATCAAACTTAATGAATCTGTCTGCAAGTTCTGCCTCTGTGTGTGCACTGTAAGGCTCAGAGCAGCGACCAAAACAGGTTTGGGATGGGGCAGCTGCTACCTACTGAAACCCTTTCCTATCCATGTTACAGTGGTTCCCTGTTACCAATGCCGTGGTTGCTCAATGCCGCTTAGTTTTGTACAAAAACTGCAGTAGATCAGCGCACAGCTCCCTCTACCCACCATCCTCTCTGCGCAGAGGTTAGCAGATGCTTAGAAAAGGGTATAAGTGCTCTTCAAAGAACAGGTCAAGCAGACGGCCTACAAAATCCTTAGGGGGAAAAACTGTTCTCTGGTATTTTTCCTCGAGTCCTCTGAAAACTGTGCTGCTTGTTTATTTTACAGAAGGAACGATTGCTGTTAAATGGCTGGGAAACGGCACATGCCATTGATATGATGACAGTGTACAGCTTTTTGCCACAGGCTGATGTCAAAAGGTATTACTGATAGCTTGCTTGCGGCCAAAAGTCTTCTTCAGATGCCATTTCCAAGGTAGTTCACGTCAGTATGTAGAACGGGATCCCCGAGTATAACAGAGGAGGCTGTGTGCAGGTGCTAGCTAGGTGGACAGAATGTGTCTGAGTGCGAAGCTCTGCAGAGCCTTAAGGACAATGTCTGGAGCAACATTAATGATCCAGAGGGTTATTGCTGCCAGAAGTAGACTGATAGCGGTGATGATTTATTTGGGTGCGATATAAAGCATCTCATGACAGAAATCTGCAGATAAAAGATGCCACAGAAATGCTGTGTTCAGTTTTTACAGTACCTAAGATGTTTCTTGTGAACACCCATCCTCCACAATACTAGATGAGTGGAGAGGAGTCCTAAAATACACTCAGAACAGGCAGCCACTTTTCATATCCCTAAGGGAGATGACATCCAGCTGTTTGCTCCAGTTTTGTAGGCCTAGTAAGATTACTTATCCATTTACTCTTTTACTACAAGTGGGTGGAAACGGCCAGTCCTGATCCTCCCTCCTTCCTTGGCAGCGTATTTAGGTAATGAGCCAAGGCAGGGCAGTAATTTAGTGCTATGACCTATTGTACTATGCAAGCAAAGAGAGAGAGAGAGGAGAGGTGCGCCCAACAGCGCGGTGTGTCCAGCTCTCAACAGATGGATGCATCTTCCATTCGTATCATCTTCGCGAGCTAGACTGCTGGGTCTGTAGACAGAGCTTACTATATAGAGGGTATAACTAAAGGTTGTTGTAACAGTCGCTAATCTGCATGGATTTTGTTAATTTTTTGTGTTAAAGAAAAGCTAAAAAGGGGGAAACTGTTTTTAATGAGTAACTCCTTAAGTATATAATATGAAGTGCGAATTGCTGTGAGTCATTCAGTAACTCTGGTTTGAATTAGCTGAACAAGTTACGTTGGTCAAAATAAGTGTTCACATATGGGGATTTCTCAAACCATGGAACTGAACAGGTGAGACTGAAAATCATAGGTTGTTTAAATAGGAACGATGACTGTGTGATTGCACCATATGGCACTTGTGGAGAGACGTAGCTTGTACTTCTTTTGCAGCATTTTTTACTACCTTAGGTCTGTTCAGCTCTTTCCACTTGTTCCAAATGCCAAGAAATAGGTTACGTAAACTCTGTCCTTCAGTATTAATGAGGAAAATAATGCTTTCTATTTGTAAAAATCTTTACAACAGTGTTCTTCTGCAGCACTTGCACATCTGTGAGTGTATTTAGGAACTTTTACCGCTCAGCTTCTTTTGGTCCTCAGTAGCAGCCCTTCCAAATATTTAGCATGGAAAATATCTGATATTCAGGTCATCTAGAGTGAAGGAGAGGAATGTGCCGGGTTAAACTTTGTAAAGCAAGCACAGCTTAGGAAAAGGTCTCCCATTTGTTTGGTGGAAGATGCTCAAAGATCTTACTTTAAGAATCCTAGGTAGGAACCATTTTAGGAAAAAAAAATCCTCAGCTCTTATATGTACCATTTGGTTTGTGTTTCATCATGAGCTCATGTGGGAGAGTTGTTAGAAGCTGCACTGGTGTACCCATCACTCTTCCAAGGCATAATATGGACTTGTGATTGTCTGGAGAAAATACTGTCTTCAAATGTTCACTGTAATCCTTTGATAAAGATAAATTTCCTTCCAGCTGTACTTCCTTCAGGCTGTACTGTTTGTGTCTACTGAAATCCAGCAAGACCAGATATGTGCAGTAAAAGGGGTTAGAAGAGAAATAGTGGTATTTGTGAGGAGTTACACAGATTAGTCCTGGAACATGAAATTCCAGGGATGAGAAGTTGAAAACATCTTGTCCGTCACTTGTGTCGTACATTGACAACAAAGGCTGGGAGTAGTGGTGGTATCTTTATTATGGACAAATACCTGTATTAATTTACTAGAAAGGTAACTGCCTTATTGGCTGTACTTTTCACTCCTAAGGAGTGAAGAAGAGTACTTTAAAAACTGTACTGAGACTGCAGCTCGAATCACAATTTTTATTTTATTCCTACAGAATAGAAGGACTTGAATTCCTAGATGAAAAGGAACTGTTTGAACAACTAATGCAGCACTACTGCATCTGCTGGGCTTCAAAGGACAGCAGTAATCTGGGTAATGTTCTCCAACATCTAGGAGGTGACCCTGCCCATTGAAATCTTATGTGGAAAGACTGGGACTAAAGATACCAGACATATGATAGAAGTCTCCTGTCGCGGGAGTGGGGTCTGCTTCTCTGTCATTGTTGGGGCTGTGAACACCTCCCTGGTGGTGTCTTGTGACTGTTTCTCAACAGCCTTTTGAGGGTTTGTATAGGCATCTGAATTGCCCAACAGGAACCCTGTCCAGTACAGGGCAGTTAGGATTTTTACACCGAAAGATGCCGTATGGGTTACTTTAAATAACTGCCTGCTTTATACTATCACTGCTAATTGAACGGTTTACAAATCCTGTGCACGTGAAGTGCCAGATGGGCACACAGTATATGAAATTGCAGTGTCCTGACAACATTAGCATAAAAATAAATTTGTATTACTTAGCCCAGTCTTCTGCACTGTCCTCATTTACGTCCATCTGAGACTTAAGTTTTCCACGCTGCTTTCTCCTGGGGGAAAAAATTCCCTCTGAAGTTAACTCTTTTAAATGTTCCCTTTGTACTTAAAATTCTGTCTCTTCTAAACTGGAATTTCTTTGAAACAGAGAGACTTGATTTATGCTCTATGTAGCATTATGTATGTTGCTGCTGCTTAAGAAATAATAAAATCAAAAGAATTGCGGTTTGGGTGAAGGATGGATGACTACAGCCATTATTTGTCTAAATTAGAAAGACAACTCTGTTGCAGACACAGTTTATCTCTTTTTTTTGCCTGCAATTTCATGAACTTCAGTCTTTCCAGAAAACTTCTCTGGCTGCCAGTTTATCTTTTCCCTCCCCTGCTCTGCCCTTCCCTTGCTCCTGACAAAGCACTATTCGAGAACAGATTTTATTTGCTCTGCCTTAGCAGATGTGAATCAAGTTGTGGGTATATTTCAGCCAGACTGCGTAGCAAAGCATCTGATACAGGTAGTAAAGCAAGATCTTCAATACCCTGTTGCTGCTGCTGTGACAGAGGTGCTACCTTGCCGTGTCTCGTGACCTGAATCCTACAACTTCAACAGTTTCGAGCTGCAGAAATGCGCGTTTTTCCATTTGATTTCTTATGGCTAAAAGGCAATAAATGTAATACAGAGCTTACTTCTAGAGGAGCCAAGGCCAAAAAGTTCACCTATTCATAGTAGCCCATATTCCTGGGATCTCCAGTGTTATTCTTTGCTGTGATTAGAGAAGTATTTAGGACAATTTTGGGTACTGAGGTTAAGTGACGCAGCATCTTAGGAGTAGAAAAAGACAAAATCCTAAAGGAGATAAGGCATATCCATGCATTATACATTTGATTAATATAAAGCAGGTTTTCTTTATCCAGAGTGAATTTGCTGCCCTCATTAATGGTACTTTCCCCACCTGTCTGTTTTTAATTTCATGGGCAGACCCTTAGTTCAGCAGCAGCCTCTGTGTTGTTCCTTCTGCCGTGGATAACTTCAGTGCTCTGTCAGATTGGCTTATTCAAATTAATTGTTGCATCGCAATCAAGAAACGGTTAAAAAATTATAGACCAACCTGTTTCCTAATTTCCTGCCACGAAATCCTTTACATTTAAGTTTAAAAAAAATAAAAATAAAATTCTCAAAGCATCCTTCTTCCTGTGTCTAACTGTCCTAATGGCAGTGAAGTACATGTAGTATGAGAATAAACGCTTGTTTCTCACCCCCATCCTCTTTTCTTTTCAAACAGGTCTTGCAAACATCACGTTCTAATGTATTTACTGGAGGGAAGCCGTGGGCCCAGAAGCTGCAGCGACTGCCTTCTACTTGAGACGAGATCACAGAAATGATGGGACTTTGCATGTGCCAACTTCAGTCTGTGCATCTGTGTAAGCGGCGCCAGTGCAGGAAGCGACGGGTGCTACTGATGTCAACTGTCCTTGTGGGGCTTTGGTAGTTTTAATGAATCCTTTTTTGCCCGCTGGGAGCAATTGTTATGAGGCAAGACTCGCCTCCCATTCCCAGATATATAACGACGGACTTCCTTAAGATGTCAGTAATTCCTGTTTAAAAGCTTGCCTTCCTTAGTTTAAAACTGAAAGTAAAGTGTTCTTGGATTATATGATTTTCCTCTTTTGTCTTTTTGTGGATGTGTAAAATGTATTTGTGACAGGAAACTGGAAAATCGGTGCCGGTGAGCTGCATTATTGGATATCTCTGCACTGTGCACGGCTGATCGGGAAGGTTAAAACTTGTCAATTTTCATTCTGTTCAGGTTAACTTTTATGAAGTGTCACCATGTTGGCTTTTTCCTGGCTTTTAGCATTGCTACAAGGCTGTTACTATACTAGGTATGTTATTACAGGGGAAGGGTGAAAGAAGAAGGAGGGACGTGATTCTTGTTCAGTGGTATACAAGAAACTGGATGATGATGTTAAAGCAGATTTTTTTTTAACTGGGAAGGGCTTAGCTTGGCACTTCAGCTCTGGGATGGTAAAGGTAAGAAAGAAATTAACCTAAATTTGCACTGCTTCTGGTAGTATCTTTACACCGGTTTCTCATTCTTCTTTCTTTCCTCTTAAAAGAAACAAAATCCCAACAGCAACAAAAGACCTTCCCATGTTGTTTGAAATTGAATCTTGCAACCTTCCTATGAGAAAAATAATAAATGTTTAGTATTTATAATTTGACTAGTGTCTTACTCATTAGAAATTACTTATTTATGTCTGATTTAGTGACTACATTTTTCCTCTCTCGCCAAGCGCCTCACCAAGAGTATTTGTTAAAGCCGTTTCAAGCATAAGCAACCATTTGTTGTGGGGAATGGAGTCAAATCCAGTTGGCGGATGGTCGCAAGTGGTGTTCCCCAGGGCTCAGTATTGGGCCCAGTTCTCTTTAATATCTTTATCAGTGACCTGGACGAGAGGATCGAGTGCTGCCTCGGTAAGTTCGCAGATGACACCAAGTTGGGCAGGAGTGTCGATCTGCTTGAGTGTAGGACGGCTCTACAGAGGGATCTGGACAGGCTTGGATCGATGGGCCGAGGCCAATGGTGTGAGGTTCAACCAGGCCAAGTGCCGGCTCCTGCGCTCAGGTCACACCAACCCTGTGCAGCTCTACAGGCTCGGGGAGGAGTGGCTGGAAAGCTGCCCGGTGGAAAAGGACCTGGGGGTGTTGGTGGACAGCCGGCTGAACATGAGCCAGCGGTGTGCCCAGGTGGCCAAGAAGGCCAACAGCATCCTGGCCTCTATTGGGAATAGTGTGGCCAGCAGGACTGGGGCAGTGATCGTCCCCCTGTACTGGGAACTGGTGAGGCTCTGCCTTGAGTGCTGTGTTCACTTTTGGGTCCCTCACTACAAGAAAGACCTTGAGGTCCTGGAGCGTGTCCAGAGAAAGGCAATGAAGCTGGTGAGGGGTGTAGAACACAAGTCTTGTAAGGAGCAGCTGAGGGAACTGGTGGTGTTCAGCCTGGAGAAAAGGAGGCTGAGGGGAGACCTTATGGCTCTCTACAGCTCCCTGAAAGGAGGGTGTAGCGAGGTGGGGGTTGGTCTCTGCTCCCAAGTAACAGGCGATAGGACAAGAGGAAATGGCCTCAAGTTGTGCCAGGGGAGGTTTAGGATGGATATTAGGAAAAATTTCTTCACCGAAAGGGTTATCAAACATTGGAACAGGCTGCCCAGGGAAGTGGCTGAATCGCCATCCCTGGAGGTGTTTAAAAGACGGGTAGATGTGCTGAGGGACATGTGGTGGTTTTGGCAGTGTTAGGTTGATGGTTGGACTCAATGATCTTAAAGATCCCTTCCAACCTAGACAATTCTAGCATTTTTGTTCCGCATGTGACTTTCTGTACTGTAAGAATACCTGACTTTGGAAATAGTTGACATGAATGTGGACTGGAGGTGTAGGGACGTATCAAAAAAAGTAAACAGTTCCTAGAAGTGACAGTCATAATTTCAGAGGAACAGAAGTAGTAAAAAGAAATGGCGTTCCCTTCACTGCCCTCCTCTCTCAGTCACTGGTGACTACAGTCCACCTCCTGTTGTTTGTGTCAGTTATGACAAGGCACAGAAATACAACATTTGGCTAATGCTGCGCTCGGTCTTGGCAAAGTGTTCGCATAAACTCTCTGCCCCCAAAGGGAAGGGATGGACCGTGCAATTATGAAAGGAGCTTATAACCTTTGCTTCCTAGATAACAATATCAATGGTATGCTTATGACTGCACATTTTAGATGTTTGGGCTTATCTGTGCCCCTCGTCTTGTAAGAGGCATGCGCAAGCTGTGCCTGCCTTAAGTGTTGACCCTTTCGCTCTGCAGATGCACGAGACCAGGAGGCTATGTCTCAGTTTTTCACCTTAACATCAAAGTTGCTTCTTGAGCGCAGCGGCTGTAACTGGGGACTGTAGGGTCTGCTACTGGGTGGTTTCCCCCCGGCAGTTGCCCGCTGTCCAGATTGGGAGGTAGACTTGCTGATGAGCCTTTCTGCTTTATAGGAAGCAGGGGCAAATAGCCTGCTGTATTTAATGGCCTGCAGCTTCGCGGGTTTGCCTTCTGGTTTCACGCTGTTGTTACTCAGAGTATTTTAATATTTTTCATTC